TACTCGAGCTCGCACCATGTTCACATAAATAAACTATATGAAAGATTGAAGATTAACGCAACACTACGGCCGAGTATTTTTGCAAAACCAGGAAAGGGATATATTTAAAAACATGTAGATTTCATAAATTTTCTTATCTTGTTTCTAAAATATTGTCTGCTGGGTCCTCAGTGTTACAAGGAAAATAACCTTAAGATGATATTCGATTAATACAAGTATGCATATTTGAACGGGAAACTGAATTATTTCAAAGCAAATTATAACGTATTGAACGCGAAGTGCAATGATTGTAAATTCAAACTACATCACAAATATATATAATACATTTTTCTAACCTTTTTGTTGAAAAATTAGAGGTAATACGCTTGAAATGTGAAAGTAATTAAACAAACATCAAGTAGCACACTAATCAAAAGAGGTTCGCCCCCCCTCCACCGTAGTCAGTCATGATCGATTACAATTATTCAATACACATACAAAGTAGTAGCATGAAGGGCGATGATGTTGCCAACACCTTACAACTGCAATGGCGACATCGAGAGGAAAAACAACACACTAGGATTAATGGATCATTTTTTGCGGGCCCAATAGTGAACCAGCAGCAGAAAAGAAGCCAAGTACACCAACAAGGCAATCGCAATACATCTCGGTCTCCGCAGACCTCTGTGTAGCACGGAAAGGGCCGCGGAGACGCAGCGCGTCGAGGTCAGCCCACCGCCTCCCTCTCTGACGCGGCGCGGCACGGTGCGTCCGAGGCACGCAGGGGCAGTCGCGCCGCGCCGCTGCAGCGCCCACGCGGCCGCCACCGCCGCCGCCACCGCTGAACCCGCGACCCTCCGCCCGCGCCGCCCACACGCGCGCAAGGCCGCGCAGCGACTCCCCGGCTCGCCGCTACGCGCGAGCCGCGCCACCAGTGCGGGAGGCTTGCCAACGCACTGGAACCAGTCTGAAGCTACGAGGCGAACGCCAGGAAGATCTGGATCACGCTGCAATCCATCCCTCAGGTCACGTTACACGCTGGTTACCCAACATTTTGTCCCTAACGTTAAGGATCTAGCTAGCAGAAATGAGCCAAGGAGTTCTTTTCAACTTCGTCCCCGGAACCGACTATACTGAACAAAAAGCGTATTCATATGTTAATGAAGCAGCAATAAAGTATTTTTCCTCAAAATTGTGAGAAAAGAATACGTTGTTAAAGAATTGTAACAGTAGCTCCTGAACAGCCTACTAACTTGTAATAATTTAGTTTAAATACCGGAAAACGTTTTTGAATAACGCAAAACCGCAGGTTATGGTCATAGTGCGAGAACCTTTTTTCAAGAAATAGCCTATTCGCTAGCCACCGTGTCAAATTTTGAAGTAGAAAATAAAGAGATAATTCTTGTTTCGGAATAAAAATTAACTATTGGATTCAGAACCAAGAAAATATAGTGAAAACCTCTTAGTTTTGGACAACTTTGTAAAGGCGTTCATCCGGACACAAAGTCTCATCACGCAGGTCACATATTCATCCAATCGTCACCCTAATTTCCTAATACGAAATATCTTCCATAGGGATCAAGTAGTGGAAGAGGAAGATTTTAATTCCAAGCATTAAACAAAGTCATACAGTTAAGATCGGCGGTTAATTGCAACAGAGGTTGAACATCTGTCCAGAGTACACACTGTCCTATTATGTTTGACTCCAGCACGGTGTGTGTTCAAAACAGCAAGCGAGCAACTGCGTATTAGTTTCCATGGACATACACCTTTATGAACTTGATGTGAAAATAGATTACCATCATAACCAGGGCTCGCTTCAATTATATTTAATATAAAAACTTAATTTTAGGAGGAAATACAATCCTTAGCTCCGATCTTCCAACAGTCTATTTTAAAAGGTAGAAGCAGTTTCCGAATATCGGTGAAATTTTGAGAGATAAAAAAAAACCACTGCAGAAGTGAATTTCATTATTAACTGATGATACAATAAAAGTGACCTAAACATTGAAAAATAGCAAAAAATTACTTAATGACTACACAATTCTACCATCTATATATCGTAATAAGTATTGATTTACAAGTCAGCCACGACAAGAATGCACCATTGAAACGATGGCATGTCATCAGCAATTGAACCCTGCTCACAACACATACAAATTCAAAAATAG